CAAGAAACGCGTCAGGCTGAGATTCCTAGCGTCACCTCATCTGACTTGCCATTCAAAAAAGTCATTCCACATGCATAAAGTTAAACATGCAAAACCTGGTCATTGTGGCATTTGCTCAACCTTCCAACTGCGGATGAACTAAAGACAGAATTGCGTGTTTTCTACCTCAAAATACAGAAACACCGTAATGTTCCAGATCATATAACCCGTCCAGCTTTCTTCGCACTTTGCGCAAACGTAATCAATGGCTAGTCTTCCAATCTCGATCATTTCCATTTAATAACGCTACAACTCTCGTAGACGACATGAACCGTGGTTTTGATTGTTTCCGCACTTAAACACGACCATGCTTTGTTTAGGCTCATCTTATTTACTGTTGCAGGTACTACTGTAACGCCCGCTAATACTGTTAATAGTTTCCTGCTGCACATTTCTCATTAAATCCGTCTCATGTTAATCGCCGAGTTGTTTGTGATACTGAACCGGCTAACGGACAGAAGGATAAACACTGATGATAAATTTGCCGCTCGAAAATTCGGTAACAATCTGGAGATGGCACCCCAAAAAACCGCCTAACCAAAGCAGCCTGTCTTACGGGACAGGTGTTAATAGAGGTTTTATGGGTGGTGATTGGTCGAGATGTATGATACTAGCTGACGGAAAGCCTGATATAAACAGGTGAATGATCGAAGTTGGCCCGCTCTCCGTTCCGTTATTACAAAATGGGTCGCCAAAGGCAGTATAGTGGTAACGGACGAGTGGAAGGCGTATAATCGTATTTCCTCAGAAGGTTATCTACGTTTATCTGTTAACCACTCAAAGACCTTCAGGACTCTATCACCGGACGACACACCAACGCCATTGAGGCATACTGGAGTAGACTGAAAAGTAAACTCTACGAGGGAGGCCCTGTATGCGGTCGAGCTCTGTTGGCTCACATAGACGAAGAACAGTATCGTCTGTGGTTCTGCCTCAATACCATGTCTTTGACAGATGCCCAGGAACTGTTCCTGTACCATTTTGTGCAGACTTATCCTATTTAAAAGTGATTTTGTTTTGTAATAAACTGCCATAATGCGAATGCATGCCGTACATTCAGGTGTACGTGTGTAACGATGGGGAAGTTTGGGTAACAGCGACCATCGTCCATGTAACCCCCTGCGATGTTCTTTCGGCCAGCCCATGTTAGGCCGTCGGGGAAAGTCCGAGCGTCGCGTGAAAGTAGGCCTGCAACCACTGATATAGCCTGAAGGCGTTTGAGTCCACTGTTAAAGGTATTATTTCTAGGTAACGGATTTTTTTGGGTGCCATCTCCCGATTGTTACCGAAAATACCTTCAACCACCCGACCGCTCTTCTTGCTGTAAACTACCAATACAGTCTTCGCTCTGTCCGCTTGGGGAGGGAAAATGCCTCTTCTTCAACTTTTTAGAATCTATCTAAGAACCGTTGGCGACACACTGACGTGACGCTTGTCACTTTGAAAGAACGCACCATGGAAGATTTCATAACACATCTCAATTCTACTGGGGGTGCTAATAAATGTACTAAAGCGTCCGCAGTGGAAGGTGGTGAACCTCGTCTCTTGAGCTATTTAGTCAAGGGTTCCACAAAACGGCGCCCAACCGCGGTCATCAACCTCAAACCAGAAGATGCTGGACGGTATTTAAATTTTGACCCTAGCCAATGTCAAACGCCAAAAGGGCGCTGGACGAGAGGACTTCCACTGCCCTGCCAAAGGTGCACTCAATCATTCCTCTTGACCGAATCCGTGTCCCTGATGTAGAGCAAGGGCTGTAGGGGGTGTAGCTTGTGATCTGTGATCGAAAAATATCCAAAAAACGTTCAAGTAGTTTGGAAATAATTTTAGAGATCTACCAGACATTAAATTGTCCTTCACAAGTTCGTGACTTTCAAAACTACGGATTTCAGTTACAGTCTTCATTAATTTTTGGCAAATGTCCTTATAAAACAGCCTAAAATCAGCGAAGAGTTGTATGAAAAGCATAGAATTCAATGCTTCCAACGGTAGCGCAAATGGTAGTTCGAGGGTGATG